CTCAGGCATGTTGCCCTCACCAGAGCATCTTTTTGTACAAATACCCCGGCCGACACAAAAGTTGCCTTTAGGAATCACAGTGTAGGATAACGACAGACGGGAGAAGTCTGCTTCCATGAGGTGGCGGTGCGAGGAGGATCGCCCAACGGATTGAACCGTCGGCGCGAATAGTATGAAGGACACCGCCTGCACTGTAAACGTGGGAGTCAACTTTCTCACCCTCATTCAGTGATGTGTTCCTTCATCACCCAAATAGAGCGACCTAGTTTTGCATCGCTCATTAAGAGTGATTTTACGAAAACATCGCTCAATTTGAGTCATCTCGGCCAAGATCACTCTTGTAGTCATACCAACGCCAAGTGAATGACTGTGAAGGAGCGACGCCATTCAAGATCGCTATCCGCCAGGAGTGATCCAATTTGGATTCACGAAATCGCTCTTCCGGAGCCAGCAGCAACGCTCACTCCTTTACTTGTAGTGTGTGCGGTGCGGTCGGAAGGTCATCGATGTGGCTGGCGGCTCTATGAAGGTACCTGAACATACACCCTCTGTCTTATCGAGCACCCCTTACCCTCCCTTCCTCCCTCCCTCCATCCCTCCCCTCTCCGTTCCGCTGATAAGGCGTGAATTATTCCCCGAGTCTCCAGTTCAAAGGGGTAGCAGCGCCCCCCGCCGAGCCCCGCCGCGTGTGCGCCGCGCGCCTCGAGAGCCGGGCGAAGCGAGGCGGAGCAAGGCCAGCGGGCCGAGGTCTCCCTGTCTGTTGCCAAGGGATGTGCGTCTCCGCGACCTCGTGTGTTCGGGGTGTTCCGTGTGTTCTTAGCGCACTCATGTGTGTGTGTGCGCGAGCTCGGTATATATTGGCAGGGGGTCGTGGTGTGTAGTTGAGGGGGTTGGGGATCGCGGTGAGTTGGTCCGGAACACGGTGCGCCTCGCGGGGCACATCACGCAGAAGAGCCTGCGTTGCGTTGCGTCAGACGCACACAAAGCTCTGCCCGACCCGCTCTGGCGACCCCCCTCGGGGCCGGAGCGAGAGCAGCTCGGAGGGAAGCCATGTATTGGAGAGGAAATGACGGCATAGCAGGCCTTGCCTGCTTCCATTCCCTCTGGGGGAAGCGGGAGGCTTTGGTTTGATCATGCGCTGCAACGGGATCAGCCGCGGGAGGATGATATGAGCAAGGAAAAGAGCGGGCAATATTGGCCTGGCTGAAAGTGAAGCACCGCACAGTACACACGCACACACACACACACGTGTATGTAACGGCGGTTCGTAAACGTACAAAGGACCTTTGGACCTGCAGCACTAGTACAAACAGGTTTCTTTGGATATTACGGACAGCCCAGTTGTATTGCAAAGAGCACCTTATTGTCTGTCTTATCACAAACCTAGCTTTTTGCAGTATACGAAAGGATTCAAAATCTTGTGTTCTGTGCAATTACGCAGAAAACTTGCAGTGTAGTGTGTGTTGCACCGATGAGGCAGCGGGTGGGGTGGGGTGGGTGTGGCGCCGGGCTGGCGGGGCGGGGTGCGGCGGGGCGCCACGCGTTTGCCAGTGCCAGTCGTGCGCGCGCCGCCGAGGGTGAAGGTCCGGACCTCCCCGTGCCGCTCCGCAGCCGCGCCGGCGCGTCGTGGTGGTGCATTCGTCTCGCAGCGAGCCGAGCCGAGCACAGCCGAGTCGAGCCGAGTCGGAGGGGTCGCCGCGTGAGCTACCGTACGTGTGTAGTGAGGGTCGCCTGGCACGCAACTAGTCATTCGGTACTTAAAAAAAAAACAACTAAAAAAACTTAACCACGAAAAACATTTTTTTGTGGGGTGGGAGGGTTTTGTGAGGGGTTTCGTCTCTAAGTGCATTCGTAGTTTTTCTGATAATCCAGTTTTATATGGATGCCGGTTCACACCGCACATTTGTTGTTTGCGTGGTATACTGCACCGCCTGCCGGGCGTGCGTCCGGGCTCAGCTGACGCGCCCTGCGGCGTGGGGTGGTCGGCAGCCCGGCGACACCCTGCACGCGGTGCAGCACCGTGGCGGGGCGTGCATGACGCCGCCCATGTGGCATGTCGTGGCGGCACCCGGGGGATGCGGTGTGTAGTAGTGTAGGTCATGCCGCAGCTGTCAGCTGTCGAGCCGAGCCATGAGCAGGATGAGTAGCCCAGCGCGTCCCCACGCTTGATGAACGCGTGCAACTAAACTCTTTCGCATTATGTTGTGATATAAGGCTTGCAAAATTATGCACAGCCATAGTTTTGCAACAAAACATTTGCATAGCAAATCTACCTGGTCATGCACAATTTTTACATAGCTTTGCACGAAATTTTATTCAGAACTATTGCTACGTAAAATTGTGCATATTATGAAGGGACAAAATGCGTAAGGATTTAGTAGTGCGCTCAAACTGTCCTCGTCCATACTCCCCCCCCCCCTCCCCTCTTTCTCTCTCTCTTTTCCCCCATTTGGCAATTCTTTTTCTCCCTGCGCCCAATTTGAGCTGCGCCGTTTCCGCGGGCCACCGCTTTGAATAAATTTCCGCTCGCGAATGTGATGAGCTGGGCACCGCTCGGGCCGCTGGGCGCCGAGCGCAAATATTATAACAGTAATAAAAGAAAGTAAAAATATAAATGGTGTCGGCGGTGCTGCGCCTGGATTAGCGATGCAGATGCGCCCCGCCATGCCCCGCTCCGCCACCGCCCCGCCAGCCGCACGCCCTCTGTATTTCGGCGCGGTCCGCCCTCCTAATGTGGTTTGCGTTGCCCCCCACGTTGGCCTTCTCTACCCTTTTTTTTGCACATTTTCTATTTTGTCCCCGTCGCCACCACTCTGCCTCCCGCACTGGGGTAGAGTAGATTTATTGTGTTTTGTGTCGCTGCTGACGTTTGTATGCATTTTCCATTCAGCACCTTCCTTCCCTTCGCATATTTATTTCTCCCTTCCTCGTCTCTTCCCCTCTCCCTCTTTCTCTCTTCCTCTCCTCCCCTCCTCGTCACGTTGCGCTCGGCCCCTCGTCGCTCCGGACGGACGTGCCGCGATGCAGCTCAGACTCTGTCACGCCTCCATGGCCGGGCATTGGATTAGGGAGCGCCATAAGGAAGGGTCCGGCCCCCCGCGGTGTCCTGAGGACGTCCCGAGGACGTCCTCCTCACGGCCACGGCGCGCCTCATTCCCACGGCGACTACGTGACGTCCAGAGGAGTGTGTCTAGGGCGGCAGGACAGGGTCTCGCTCTCCCCTTTCTCGTGACGCGTGATGTCGCGCTCCCCATATGATGGCGGCCTCCCGGTCGGTGTCCCCATCATGGGCGTCCCCATGGCACGGCGCGCGATTTACTACCTTTGAACGAGGCGGCCTGCTGTGCCGACGGCCCAACAGGAAATGGACACAGCGTCACGTCCGCGGCGCTGTTTAATTGATATCGGCGATGTCTCTCTGTCTCTCCGCTCTCTCTCTC